TTGAGCAGCCCTGTGTCCCCTCAGCACTGCCACAGGTATGTGCATCAGTCAGCAAAGGATGGGATCTAGCTGTTGTGACAAACAGGCCCCAGGTTCCAGCAGCTGAACTCGGTCCACCCTTCTCACTCACCCAGAGGCCCCACAGCTGTCTGTGGCCCAGGTGGCCTCACCGGACCCCACAGGGTCCAGGCCCTCCCCCTCTGTGGCCCCAGTGTCTAGTACATCCTTTGCACCCAGCCAGTGGACCAGAGAGGCGGAGGGTCTGGAGGTGCATGTGTCACTCCCACTGGCAGGGACTCAGAACACGGCTCCCACCTGTATGCAAGGGAGGCTGTAAAACTGGGTCCCGGCTGAAGGAAGAGTGAGTGCCAAGGCCCTGAGGCGGAGACACGGGTGGGTGCCCATGGGCTCAGTTGTGGGAGAGGAAGTGGGGAAGGTCAGGGTTGAGGGCTTTGGAGGACCTGTTACAAAGCCTATGCTTTCGCTGCATATGAGCTGGGGCCGGTGAGGGGCTGAGTGGACGGCACACTCTCCTGGTGTCGCCAATTCTGTGTGCACAGTCGGCTGGCTGGCAAGGCGGAAGCAGAGCACAAAAGGCTCTTGGACAAATCCAGGCTCACACCAGCAGAGGGTGGGGAAGTAGCCATGGCGGGGCTCAGGGGTCAGTTTCCTGCAGGACCAGCAGTGAGAGGAGAGGAGCACCAGGCTTCGGTCCTGGGCACCTGGCAGGGACCCTGTGTGCTGGCTGTGGGTGGGGCGGGTTTCGGGTCTTGAAGGGAGAGGAGTGGCTGAGTGCAGGCTCGAAGGGCTGGCTGGACTGAGGCCGGGAGGGCGGGTGTAGGGAGGGTGAGGCTGGGGAGCGTGAGGGCAATAAAGGCCACAGGCACGATAAGGTCCCAGACTGTATTCAGAATGCCGAGGAGGCCTAGCAGGGTAGGGCTTGTCCCCAGTGGCTGGGGAGGCATGACTATGGTGACCAGAGGGAGGAGGGAGGCTAGGGAGCTGGTGCAGAGACAGGGGCGGGGAGAAAAGTGGGTGGATTGAAGGAAGTGCTGTGTGGGCTGCTGATGTGGACACGCTGCAAATGTCCCCAGAGCAGGCCATGTGGAGAGTGGCCAGTGGGTATATCTTGCTTTTCCCTTCCTCACCGGCTTTTCTAGTTCTCCTAACTGCCGATCTGGGGTCAGGAAAAGCCAGCTGGTTCCTGTTCCGGGAGCAGCCAGCAGCCTGGCTGAGCTGGCACGAAACGCCCTTTGTCCTCACACTGGGAACCCCCTCGCAGGTGTGTGCAGAAGCCACGGCCAGTGAGTGTCGTAGGTCACAGGGTCTTCCCCTCGAGCACTGACTTGCATGCCCCCTGAGATGGGGAGCTCACCATCTGTGTTCAGGCTTTGCACCCACCGGGGCTGCCCAGTGTCTGCACCACAGGGCACTGCAGCAGGAAGGACCCAGAATGCCATGCACTAGTTCTAGGGTGGATGGCCTCAGTTTCTGCTCCTTCAAGGGGTCACAGAGAAGCCATGCTGTCTCTTTGCCAGGGGCTGCTCTGGGGAAAACAGCTTCCTTCCTTCTTGTGGGCCTTGTCTGGACAAGCCCTGGGGCCAGTGACCAGGAGAGTAGAGTTCTCTTGCATCTCTGGTGTCCATGTTTCCGGCTGGCTGTCCATGTGGCTGCAGTCAGGGCTCCGTGGGAACAGTGTGTAGGGAGCTGCCCTGATAATAGAGGGCCCTTAAGTGGTGCTTTTTCTTAGTGGCTGGCGCCATCGATGTTTAAAGTGGGAAATTGGGAAACAACAGATTGCCGCCACCCCGGAGGGCCCAGGCCCCAGAAGCAGCCCAAGTAGGCAGGCTCCAGGAGGGAAGACTCCCTGTGGGCACCCACCCCTTCTCCAGCCTCAGGTGCCTCTTCTGCAAATCGGGAGGAAGCCCTGCCTTGCCTGGCACCCCGCGGGCATGAAAACCGCGATAAGAAAGTCCAAGGAGTTGCTGTCTTGCACGGGATGTGGGGGGGGGGGGCGCATTCCCAGGAGAAGACAGTCAGGCTAGCCTGGCTTCTCATGTCCCAGGCATGTGACCCTGGGCAAGCCTCAGTTTCCCTGTATGAGGAGGGACCATCTTCCACTTCTCCATGAGGGAGGTGGTGGTGGTGTGGAGGGGAATTGAAAAGAACGCCAGTACCGAAGCCTCCGTGGGAGACAGAGCAGAGGCCGGACCCCGGGCGCGCGTTCCCTGTTGCCCTGGCCGGAGGCTGAGAGGGGAGGGAGGCGGCGCGACGGGACCTGGTGGGCGGGGCGGGCCTTGAGCAGAAGGTGGCGGGGCCTGGACGAGACAGCTGCCTTGCTGGGACGGGGCCGAAGTCTGCAGGGGCGGGGCTGAGGGGAGAGGCGGGGTTTGATTGAGGCCGGAGCCTGTGCGGAGCTTTTATGGGCGGGGCAGAGGTCTATGAGGGGCGGGGCCGGATGGTGGGGCGGGACCTGACTAAGGCCAGAGCCAGTGAGGTGCGTGGATGGGCGGGGCCAAGAGGGGGCGGTGTCGGGAGGGCGGGCTCTGGTGCACTCAAGCCGGCTTCTCGCCCGCCGGCTGCACCGCTGCGATTCTTCGTCTTCCAGGCTCAGGGCTCGGACTTCCCGTGCCCAAGGGACGCTGTCCACATGGCCGCCATCAAGGCACTGCAGCAGTGGTGTCGACAGCAGTGTGAGGGCTACCGGGACGTGAGTATCACCAATATGACCACGTCGTTCCGCGACGGACTGGCCTTCTGCGCCATCCTGCATCGCCACCGGCCCGACCTCATGTAAGTGTCCCGCGCGCCCAGCACCCGACGCCGCAGGAGCTCGCCCGGCCCTGGACGCGGCCCGGTGGCCTCAGTTTGCCCGTCCGCCAAGTCGAGCTGGGAGGGAGCCAAGACATCCGGCGCCCCCGCTGGCTTAGTCAGGCGGTGACTCAGGCCCGCGTCCCGGGCGCTCCCGCCACAGCCGCCCCTTCGGCGCGGTCTCCCCAGGGCCTTCCCACCAGCACTGGGGTAGGGGGCTCTGGGGGCTTCGTGTGTGGTTCTGCCTGTCCCCTAGCTTGTCCAGGCGCCTTTAGGGCTGTGGCTCAGGGGCTCTGAGGGGGCGGGGCCAGCGCTGAGCAGGAAGCCCCAGACCCTCCCACCTCCCATGGGGCTCCCGCACCTTAAGGTGGCAGGGGGTGAGGTGGAGGCAGCTGATCTCCACCTTTTGGTGCCACGGGAGGTGGGCAGCAGACGCCTCCAGGTCTTCTAGCCTGAGGACGGTCTTGGAGTCGTGGCTGGGAGGCTGGCCGGCCCCTACTTGTTGCCAAAGCTTATCCCCACCCTGGACCCGCTTCGTCCATTATTCACTCAAAACACGCCCTTTGGCCATGACCAGGGCCCAGCTTGCTGAAACAGAGCTCGCTGCAGGGAGGCCTTGGTTCACCAGCCATTCAGGTGCCTTCTGGGGAAGACCACGATGCTGGAGGCTGGAGGTGTTCTCCTGGGACGTGCAGGCTGCAACCCAGGCAGGTGGAGTGTGTGCAGGGAGCTCTGAGCAGGGAGGGGCCCAGGGTGGCAGGTGCCGCCCTCAGGCCTCTGTTACTGCAGACTGGGGAACTGGTGGAGAGCATAGAGTCCGGGGCTGGCAGCCGGGGCTCCCCCCTGCACCTCAATGTGCCCTGTGCCCCTAGGGACTGCCCCTAAGGGACTGTCTGTGGGAAGCTGGTGTTGAGAATGAGGCCTGCAGGTGACTCCCCTTCCCTCCCAAGGTTCCAGGGTGCATTTGTGGAGTCCTGTGGGGGTCCCATGGGCATGTGGGCTGCAGCCTCTGCCCCCTGCCCAGGGAGGCACTGGTCACCCTTGGGGGCAGAAGATGTGGGGGCAGGATATGCATCCGTACTGAACACCTGAAGCTGAGCTGTGACCTGAGTGTCACGGGGCGGGGCGGGGCGGGAGGTGTGGAGGCTGGGAGAGGGTCAGGAGCCGAGGCTGGCAGGCCGAGCCCCACTGGTGTGCATGCAGGGTCCTGGCAAGGCCAGCGGGGATGGAGCCAGGCAGCCTGGATGAGGTCAGCGGGAGAAGTCTGCAAGAGGACAGAAGGGTGCTGCGGATGTCTGCAGGGTTAGTGGCCTCAGGATGGTGGCACAGGTGTGACTGAGACTTGGGGCCCTTCTGAGCCCCGGAGCTTCCCTCTGCCCGCTGTGCTGCAGCCAGAGGCCACATGTCTCCGTGCCTGTGCCCGTTTGCCAGCCCCCGTGGGCACCACCTGTGGGGGAGCCAGGGCAGCGTGCGGGGGCATGCCCAGGAGTAGGCACAGGCAGGTGCTGTGCCGCCGTTCGCCTCACCAGTACTGAGCGCCTGCGGGGTGCCAGGTGCTGCCTGCTGCACACAGGCCTGTGCCCATCCCAGGGACCAACAGTGGACGAGAACTGAATGAGAACACTGCGGGTGGGACTCGGGCAAGGGGCTGCCCCTGACCCTGGTTGCATGGGGCATCGCATTATCTCACTGCTGACTGGCCATCTGGCCTCTGGACTTTCAGCTCCAGAGAGGGCGTGTCCCCAGGGCCAGAACCGCGACTGGCAGCTGTCAGGTGGACCACAGGTGTCAGTACACGCTGGAAGTCCATAGATCAGGGCTTGTGCTGGGGGCTCTGGCAGGGCAAGAGTGCTCTGGAAAGCAGGGGCTGTGCAGGTGCGAATGAGGAGGGAGGGAGGGGGGAAGCCATGTGACCGTGGAGGCGATATTGGGGTGACCCAACCACAAGTTTAGGGTGGCCTGGAGCCACCTGAGGCTGGGTGGGGTCGGGAGCAAAGCCTGCCCCAGAGCCTTTGCAGGGGGTACGCCCTGGGATGCTCTGTCACTTTGTCAGAGGATGTGTGGCCTCCCAGACTGGGGTGGGGAGGGAACGTGTGTCGTGTTCAGCCACCCAGTGTGTGGTCCTTGGTTGCGGCAGCCCAGGAAGGAGTGCGGGTCCCACCCATGGGGGTGTGGCGGGGACTCTGTGGACGCTGTCAGGGGAGCAGGTGTGATAGGGGTGCGTGCCTGTGTGTGTGGGTTCCCGTGCGTCCTGTGCCCAAGCCCTTTGTGGCGCCCCTGTGTGTGCCTTAGAGACCCCTCCTCCACTCTGAACCCACAGTGCCCCTGGAGGCTGGGTGGGGGGCATCTCCCCAGGAAGCTCCGAGCTGCCTGTGGCCCCAGAGGCACAGGAAGAGAGGCGTGCAGTGAGGGACGCCACAGGGCGAGACCACCCCACACGCCGTCCAGTGCAGACCCTCTGGCAGCAGGAGGTGGACATCCTGGCTCTGTGGCCCCTTCCCTTTGTCTCATCTCAGTCCTTCCTGCTCCACGGGAGCCCGTTTCCTCTTGGCCCGAGGCGGAGGGAGAGCTGCTGTGAGGAGCCACTGGGCGCTGAGCCAGCCAGGTAGGGACGGCGGCCTGACGCTGCTGGTGGGCGGCTCTGCCGCCGGCCCAGTGCCAGCCATGCTCATGTGGCCCTGCCCTGGAGGCCACACGGCCCTCTTGGGTGGCTCCTCGGGGATCGTGGTGTGTGTGGGCGAATCCATCGCAGGGAGGTGGCCTGTGCCCACCTGGCAGCTGCAGGTGGGCCTCAGGGTCGGCTTCCCTGGGGAGGTCGGTGAGCTGCCAGGTGAGCAGTAATGCCCAACACAAGCCTCCGGGGTGGTAAATCCATCCGGTTGGAGCCGCTTCTGCTCCTTTGGGGCCTGACCGGGAGGCATGAAAATTTCCACAACAGGCCGGAGGAGGGGTGGGAGCCCTTCCCAGCACCAGGCAGTGTCCCGGGGCAGCGAAGGAAGGGGGCCATCAAGTAAAGGTCACTTGCAGCAGCTGCGGACAGCTGGCCCCTGTGGGGTGTCAGGAAGTGGGCTTTGACCTTCCCGGGCCTCCCTGCCCGGAGGGAGGGCGGGTGTCAGGGCCCAGGGCCAGTGGCAGGGGCTACTCCTTGACCACTATTCCAGACACACCCATGCTGGGGGTCAGGAGAGGCTCCCCCAGGGGCGCCCACCCAGAAGCTCAGAGGCGCCTCTGTTTCCCGCCTGGGTCAGGCCCACTGCCCCTCCTGCGTGAGGTCAGCAGGAAGCCGCCTGGGGACAGAAGCCTTCTGTTCCTCAGCCTAAGGGCCAGCTGCCCAGCCTTCCGGGTACAATCTTCAGAATGGACACGGGAGGGGCTGTGGGCCCGACTCCTTGGGGACAGCTCAGGGCCTGATGTCCCGTCACTCCCCCAACCCCGGCTCCCAAGCCAGAAGCAGCCCCAGGGCTGAGTCCTGCTGGTTGGACCTGACTCTGGGCTGGGTCTGGGGCTCAGTGCAGGCCAAGAGGGGAGGCATCTCATTTGCCCCCCAGGTACAAGGTGGGGCCTGGGAACCAGCCCTGCCCGGGGCCTCCCTTCCCCCTCGGTTCCCCTTCCCGGCAGGATTAACTCCAGATGCGGGAGGTGCTCAGCGAATGGCTTTCCCTCCTGTCCGCCCTGGGCCCGCAGCCCCCGCCCCCCCAACCCCCACGGTTGCATTTTGTTCCAAGAAATAAACAGCATGAGGTCAGCTCTTCGGGAATTTGGAGGGGGCACACTTTCCCTGGAGCCCCCAGGTAGAGGGGGCCCGAGGCTCCAGTCTGAGGTCAACAGCCCTGGTCAGTAGTAACCCGGGAGGCAGGCTGGGGCCAGGGCTGGGCCAGAGCTGTGAGCCATGGCCGGAGGGTCCCTGAGTCAGGCTGTGCAGACCCCGAGGGTCAGCCCACTGGCCGGTGGTAGGAGAGCGAGGAAGCAAGTGAGCCGCTGCCGCAGACTCACTCCGCTTGCATTTACGGAGTGCTGGCTGTGTGCTGGCTCCCTGCAGGGCCTCAGAGCACCAGAGCCTTGTGGTCCAGCATGGCTGCCTCCCCCAGGGCCCAGGTCTGTCCTTCAGGCTTGTAAACTGGGTGCTTCAACAGCGGCAGTGGATTAGCTCCTGGCTAGAGTCTGGCATCGCTGGCCAAGTGCCCCTGGGGTCTCTGTCCTGGGTGCGTGGGTGGCCACCTTCCCTCTGGGCACCAGTTTCCCTCCTGACAAAGACACAGTCTGGATTGGGGCCCACCTTCGGGATTTCGTTGTAAGTTGATTCGCCCTGTGAAGACCCTATTTCCAAATCAGGGTGTGTTCTGAGGTCCTAGGGGTGAGGACTCCAAAAGATCTTTTGCAGGGGGTGCAGCCCAGCCTGTCCCACCAGGGTCCCTGCTGGCAGAGAGCTGGTCAGGTCAGGTCTTCCCGAGGCTGGTGGGTGTCTGCTCCGGGCTTTCCCAAGGGATTGGCAAGGCAGCCCGACTCCGGGGACTTCCGAAGCCCTGGACCTCATGCTGGGAGGGATGTGAGCTCCGGCCTGACTGTCCACTCAGGGCTACGTGAGAACCCCAGTCCGGGAGGGGCTGGTCAGGGTGCTCAGGCCCAGTGCGAAGGTCTCGAGTGCCCGGGAGCAGCTTGGACTGTCCCGAGAGGCTGGGGTCCTTGAACTTCAGCAGAAGAGCGATTCTGTAGCCTCTGCCCTGCTTCCCTCTGACCCTGCTCAGCAGGGGCTGGCACACCTTGGGGGTGCCCTGGCCCACCTGGAGCTTTGAGGACCTTACCCTGGGTCGAGGGGAGGAGAGGGCCCCACAGGGCAACTGGCAGCCCCAAACTCACAGGCTGCAGCCCCCAGGTGGACCGAGGCCCATGCAGGGGGCAGGGGCCTTCTCCCATTTATTTGGAGACAAAACAGAACTTGTTGTCCTGCCCTCTTGCCGGTGACCCAGGGCAGGTCTGCAGAAGAAACAGCTTTCAAAGGGACGGGGGGTGGGGGGTGGTGGAGGCTGAGGACAGAGGGCTGAGAGCCCACGGGTGTTGTGGGCGTGAAGCCAGCGTGGTGGGCGAGCTGCAGGGACAAGTTGGCCTTGCTTGCCCTTCTAGCTCCTTCCGGCCCCTCATCTGCCCTGGACAAGCGTGCCCACCGTCCTGTCCCTCGCACAAAGCGCCCTCTGTGCTCATGGGGTGGTCTCAGCATCTGGAATGCGTTACCGGGGGTGGTCTGAGCGGAAACGGGGTGGTTTCCGGAAGAGCCAGGCAGGTTGATGAACGGTGGCTGGCCTCAGGGGTGGAGTGGGGGAGGCACAGATGCAGCACCGTGGGGCCCTGGCCTCAGTTTCTTCTTCTGTGTAACAGGCCATCCGGGGCTGGGATGGGGCCCCGGGCCACAGGGTCTCAGCCACCCCGCCTGTGGGGTCTGCTCAGCCTTCAGCCGGGGCCCTTGGGTTCATCTCTAGAAGCTTCGTTGTCTTCTCACATGGGGACAGGGGCGCCTAGAAAAGAGGGGGTCGCCTGGGGGTTTACAGCTCTGCCTCAGGGGTCAGACGTGCTCTCTCCCATGCTGGGAGGCTTCTGGAACCTTCCAGTTCACGCTGAAGCTGCAAGGGTGCTGTTCGTGCCCCATGGACAGTGACGTGGCTGCACAGACAGACCCGTGCTCGACCGCCCGGGACCTCCCTCGGGGGTCTGGCTGTGCTTTCTGCCTAGAGCACCCTCCTGGACACTCCAGGGGCCGTGGTGCCAGGGAGGGGCGTGTGCCAGGTCCCCAGGCGGCCTGCAGTGGCTCTGGGTCCCCTGTGTCTGGGACGTCCTGTGCCCTGTGGTCCAGTTAGTGGGGGCCAAGGCTCTAATATTCTCGGTCTGGGGTGAGGGTCTGCCCCCTCAGGCCCTCGGGGAGGCTGGGCACGTGGTGGGCACTTAATGCCACAGCCCAGGTGGTGGAGCCACAGAGCCTGGACTCTGGGGCCATGGCCTGGCTTCGGTCTTCCCCGCTGCGTGGCCTCGGTGGGCCATGGAGCCCCCGTGTCTCAGTCTCTCCACCTGTGAGAGGTGGGCGCTGAGAGCATGTGGGGCGTGAGCGCCCAGGGTGCAGGGACCATGGAGGTGCTGGGGATCAAGAGAATGCCCAGGGCAGGGGTGGGGCGTGGAGCTCCGTCCCTCACCGTCTGGCCCTATTCCTACCCTGCCAGCTCCCCTGTCCTGCTGTGCTCTCGCCCCTGGGATAGGGGCCGTGGCCTCCTGGGTGGGGTTCTGGGTTTGGTATTTGAGGGCAGCCCTCTCCTCTGAGCTGTGTCCCGGCAGGGCTGGACCATGGCTGTGCCAGCCCCCTGTGCCCAGGCCACCAGGGCGACCGGAGCCGCTGTGCCGGCCAGCCCTGCTCTCCTCCTTCCTTCCCAGGAAAACCGCACACCCGCTTGGCTTCCCCACTGGAGTAGGATGACCTCCGAGGCCCTTCCAGCCCCACTTCCTGGGGTCTGAGCTGCTTTGCACACTCATATTTTATCTCCTAGAAACTTCGACACTCTCAGGAAGGAAAACGTCTATGAGAACAACAAGCTGGTGAGTCCCCTTTCCTGCCCCGCAGCCCCGCTGGCCCTGAGGCCTGGTGGAGGGAGTCTGGGCTCCCCCAAGAACTCCGTGGCCATCCCAGCCTGAGAGCCGGGCCCACCTGGTGCCCTTCCTCTTGATTTTGGAGTGGCTGGGCCCTCCTTCCCGCCACCCTCAGCAGAGTCAGAGCAGAGGTGGCCTTGGGAGGGCCCCAGGCATGTCCTGTGTGAGCCATCATGGCCCCTCACCCCACCCCCTGCCCTGCCACTCAGCCCGGGCCTAAGGGGCCTGCATGGACTGCTTCCAGCCACATTGTGGGCTGTCCCTGGGCCAGGCAGCCTGTGTCCTCGCTGCAGAGGAGGCCCCATATCCCAGCGGGCTGATGACAGTGGGCAGAATGCACCCCTTGCCGTCCCTGCACCCCGCACCCCCGCCCAGTGCCCAAGCGGGAGCCCACAGGGACCAGCTCCCACGTTCCCTCAGCCCTGCCTGGCCAGGCTGCGACCCGAACACGGGGAAACTGGGGCCCAGGGAGGCCTCGAGGCTCAGTTGAGCTGGAACCTTGAACCCGGACTTTTCTGGGCTCCTAGTGGGGTTCTTGCCTCTGGTGCCTCCCGGGGGTGCTGGTGACCTGGTTGGAGGGAAGGCCGTGGTGTTCCCCCACCTGCTGCCTGCTGACCGTTCCCTCCCCAAGGCCTTCCTCGTGGCGGAGGAGCAGCTGGGCATCCCAGCCCTGCTGGACGCCGAGGACATGGTGGCCATGAAGGTGCCGGACCGGCTGAGCATCCTCACCTATGTGTCCCAGTATTACAACTACTTCCACGGACGCTCCCCCAGTGAGCGCGGCAGCCCCCGCCACCCCCACAGCCTGTACCCGCTCTGCCCGGTGGGCTCGTGCAGCACCCTGTCTGCTGCTCCCCCGTGGGGCCCACCTCCCCCGCCTCATCCACTGAACAGATGCTCCTGTCCAGCCCCCTCTACCCCCCTGGGGCCTTGGTCTCCCTGTCTGCACCCCTGGGGGTCTGCCTGTCGGTCCTGCCTCAGGGCCCTGGAGGCTCCCAGGCCCAGCTCCTGATGTCACCCCATTAGTCCTGCCTTTAGCCCTGGGCCGGGGGCCTGCAGGCCCGGTGGGCAGGGAGAGGCAAACCAGGGGGCTCCGTCCCAGCTTGGTTCTTAGTCTCTCTCCCCACATTCCTCCCCAGGCCTTAGAAATCCCCGGAATTGCGCTGGGCTCCAGGCCAGCCCCGCCTTCCCATTCCCCTTCGGTGGAGAAACCGAAAAAGTCCCCGTTCCTGACCCCACAGAGGCGGAGAGGGCGGGTGTGAGGCCAGGGCCCCGCTGGGGCGGCGTCGGCAGCCAGCAGGCGCTGTCCTGCCCCCTCTGCCCCCAATCCCCACTCCAGGCCCCCAGACACTATGAGAGCCAGCATGGGGGCTGGGCTGGGCCGGGCCCCCTCACCCGGTGTCTCCTGCAGTTGGGGGCCTGGCCGGTGTAAAAAGGTCCCAGTCCGATTCCGATGAGGAGCCCTCCGGGAAGAAGGCCCCACCCCAGCCGGCCCCAGCCCGGGGGCAGCCGCTGTCTCCCATCAGCACCAACGCCGTTCGCCAGCGGAAGGCTGGGGGTGCAGAGGGAGCACCGCTAAAGGCTGTAAGCACCCCAGCCCCGCCCCGCCCCCAGTTCTTGGTTTCCGCCTGCTCTGACCCAGCAGGGCTGGGCAGGCTCAGTGTGGCCCCTGAACCCCTGTGCTCGAAATGGTGTGGGGTCCCCTCGGGTCCCCTCACAGCTTCAGCTAACGTTTCTCAGAAGTCCGTGGGGACCGGCTCCCGAGGCCCTCCAGTCCTGCGTGGTCCCCACAGTGGGCGGGGAAACTGAGGCCCAGGGAGGCAGAGCTGAGCTGGGACCTCGGACGCAGACCTTTCCGGACTCTGAGGGGGTTTCTCGGCTCCGGCTGTGTCCTCTCCCACAAGAGAGAGGGTCAAGAGAGAAAGCTGGGTGTGCCCTTCCCTCCCAGGCTGGCCCTGCAAAGGAGATGTGTCCCGGCTTTCCCAAGGTGGAGGCTGACAGGGGCCATAACTTGCCCTTGGGCGCCCCCTGCTGCCCCTTGGCTGGCACACCAGGCTCCAGGCTCCTGGGGTGTTGGGTTGGATTTCTGTGCCTTGGGGTGGGAATTTTGGGTGTCCAAAGCCAGGCCTTGCGCCCCATCCCCTTGGACCAGACTTCAGTCCAGCTGGCCTGAGTGTGAGCCCTGGCTGCCCCCGGAGGTTTGGTTCTCCAGTCTGTAAACTGGGACCTTTTCACCGGCCGCTGGCTGGGCCGGTCCACGGGGGCGGGGGCGCTCAGAGCCCTCAGCTGCTGTCCCTCCCCAGGGCCAGGCCTCATCTGGCAGTCGGGTTAGCAGCGCCTGTGGGGTCTGCGGCCAGCATGTGCACCTGGTGCAACGGCACCTGGCCGATGGGAAGCTGTACCATCGGAGCTGCTTCAGGTGAGGCGTGCCTGAACGCGTGAGGGGGGAGGCATGGGCCCTTTCTGGGGCGTCCACACCCCTAACCGGGCCTTTGGTGGGGTCCTAGACTCAGGACAGTGGACAGTGCAGCAGAGGTGCTTGTGGAGGGGATGGATGCGGGAACAGCCGAGCACATCCTCAGGGTCCTATGATGCCAGTGGGCCCTGTTCCCTCTGCCCCTCACCCCAGGTGCAAGCAGTGCTCCAACACGCTGCGCCCAGGGGCCTACCGGACCACAGCAGAGCCAGGCGTCTTCGTCTGTTCCAGCCATCACCCCACAGCTGCCACTGCCAGTCCCATGCTGCCCGGCCGGGCCCCCAGACAGCCAGGGGCAGCCCCCACGGACTCCAAACCCCTCAGTGCCCCGCAGACGGCCCAGGAGGCAGGGGGGCGAAGAGATGCAGGGCCAGGGGCCAGGCCCACAACCCGGGAGCTTGTGGTGGGCAACTCCACGGCCAAAGGCTTTGTTCCCACTGCGGCTCCCCCTCCAGCCACCACCCCCTCCCATGTCCTCTCAGGGAGCCCAGCTGGGCCCCGGCTCTCTCCAAGCCCCTGTCCTGCTGTGACCCACAGAGCCCCAGACCCTTGCCTGGCCACACAAGGCTGCTCAGCCCCCCAGACCAAGCTCAGTCCCAGCCCAGCATCTGCAGGCCCAATGGGTGCCCCGGCCTGGACCCCGTCGGCCTCCAGGACACAGCAGGCGAGAGAGAGGTTCCTACAGACACCTGGAGCTGCACCCAGCCCTGGGCCAATGGGCAGGGCCCTAGCGGCAGCAGATGCGCCCTCGGGGCTCAGCCACAGGGAGCAAGCACTGAGCTGCCTCCGAAAGGCCCTTCCAAGGCTGGAGGGGGCCAGCGCTCAGGCGCCTGGCAGGTGTGTGGGGGAGGGGGACTGGGGCGCCCCTACACACCCACTGGGGTCCCCAGAGGCCAGAGGGCTGGGATATGCAGGGTCTGCCCTTCCTGGCTTCTCCCCCCAGACTCAGTTTCCTTATCTGGGAAGCAGGGAGAGTGAGGCGGGGGGTTGGGTGGCTGGGTTGTGGCGGGCAGGGGACACAGCTGCTGTCTGCATGCTCGGTGGGGGGTGGGTGCAGGCCCAGTGACACTGCCACCAGGGCCCCTGAGTAGCACATGCTCAGCCCTCCGAGGACACCTGCTTCACACATGGGGAAGCAGCAGCTGGAGTGGCCCGGGTATCACCAGTCTGACCTGAGAGGAGCTCTGGGCCACCCCTGCCCTGCCCAGGTCCCAGCCTTTTGCACACAGACCTGGGAGGAGACGCTGTCCCAAGGGGTGGGACACCTCTGTGTCAGTGTCCTGGGCAGCCAGCCCCACAGACGCTGGTTTGCTCATAGCTCCGGAGGCCAGTGTGAGGTGGAGGTGTCTCAGGGCAGGGCCCTTCCTGCTCGCCCAGCTCCCGGGGCCCTGGGTGTCCCTGGGATGGTGGTCGGGTCCTCCCTCTGTGCTCCCGTTGTCACGTGTCTGTCTCCCCTCTGTGTGTCCCTGAGTCTCCTCTTCTATCTCTTCTTCACGAGGACACTTGTCCTTGGACTCGGGCCCACCCTGACCCAGGACGACCTCACCCTGACTTGACCACATGGTAGAGAGCCTTTGCCCAGATAGGGCCGTGCTCTGAGCTGCTGGGGGGACACTGTCCCCCTCACCAGTCACCTGGTGAGGAAGGCGGTGCCGCACCAGGAGGCCCACTGACTCCTGCTGCCCCCTCTGCTCAGAGCTGCCGGACCCCTGCTGGGCCCGCCCCCGCCGCCTGGGGCTTCCCAGGGTGGTTATGGGATCAGGCTGGCCCTTGGCCCTGCACAGGTGGAGGAAGGAGGGACTGGGCTGTGGGCCCTCCCTGCACACCCCATACATGGTGTATCTGGGGAGCCTTTTAACCTCATCCCACACCAGAGGTGAACAGGGAAGCAAAGTCATGTACCGAGAGGCGCCTGTGCCGGATGCATGTCCGCCGCTGCCCCTGCTCCCTCAGAGGGGCTGTCTGCCCTCCCTTGGGGGTGGGCATTGGGAACCAGCCACCAAGGGAGGCTGCAAGGCCTCTGCCTGGGGTTCATGGTGGGAGGGGGCTCCTGGATCCACCTGTGCCTGATGCCCACATGTACCCACAGGCCCTCCCCAGCTACCTCTTCTGCTCCAAGTGGCCTTCCCAGAGCTGAAGGGCCACAGGCAAGGCCACCCACCAAGCTGCCACCGTCGACGTCTCCCCAGGCCCTCAGCCCCCCAGTAAAGATGGCACCACCAGCCCCACTGATTGGGGGCACCACCTCAGGGGCATCTACACCACCCCAGGCGGGCAGGAAGAGCTCAGCTGTGTCCTTAGTGGTCAGCAGGGCAGGTGCTGGCTCCAGGCTGAAGCCAGAGGCCCCACTGGCAAAGGGTGAGAGCCCTCCTTATGCGGGGCGAATGAGGGACATGAAGTGCCAGAGATGGTCTGCATGCTCACAGATGGTCAGCATCCAGGGGGCACACCTGGGCACCCTCGCCTGTTTGGCAGCAGGGAAGCTGAGGCTCAGAGAGGTGGTGTGACTCCCCCAGGCACACACAGCACAGGAGGCTGGGTGGGAAGTCCTGTGCCTGCCTCCCAGCCAGGGCTCCTTCCTGTGACCTCAGCTGCTAGGGGCACCTGAGGGTGGGCTGGCTGCACAGGAGGATGGGGTGGGACCCAGCTTTTTTCAGCAGACTCCCCCTTTCCCCGGAATGCCCCTCAGTATGACCTGTCTCCCTGCACCCCCACCCAGGCCCAAAAGCCAGCGCCCAGGAAGGCCAAGAGGAGGGGCCAGCAGGGTGGAGGGGCCGCCTGAAGCCTGTGGAGAAGGGGAGCCCAGCCAAGAGGTGAGGAGTGGGCGGGCCTCGTGCACCCATGCCTGCTGGTTTGTGCTCACGAGGCCAAGCAGGAGCTCATGTCTGGGGGCTGTGCAGGGCCTGGCACACAGTAGGTGCTCAACAAATGCTCCCGGGTGAGCAGCGGTCCTGTTTGGGTCAGTCCATAGACACACCCACAAGCCGGGATGTGGGTGTGTCACAGCGCGGCAGCTGGAGCAGCAGAAGCCGGCTTACAGAGGACAGTCACATGAGCATGAGGGACATAGAGCCATGTTCCCATCATGTAACCAGGAGGCTGGGCAGCTGGGCGGGTCCATCAGGGCCCCCGAAGTTCTCACATGTGGGAATTGGCTTGGTGGCCAAGGGACAAGCCGGTGGCATGCTCAGTAGGCCTGACCCTGGCGCACAGCTGGGACCCCTACCCACCTGTTGGCGTGGCAGCGGGGAAGGGGCAACTCCCCACAGGCAACGTGGTTAGGACGGGAGGGAGAGAGTGCTTTTCGGGGACACGTCCCAGGCAGGCGGGCACGAGTCCACGCCAGTTTCAGGACAGGAGCAGCCCTCCTGTGTGCACACGGGGGCCCTGGGCCAGGTAGGTGTGCGGGCATCAGCTGTGACCCCTGAGTACGTGCCCCTACCAGAGCAGGTGCCCAAGAGAACACAGTCCGGGGCCTGGGGAGGGTCTTGGTCGACAGGCGGCAGGCTCGGGGCCCTGCCTTCCCCGCCCTGCGGGACTCTGCTTGTCTGTGCTGAGGGCCCGCTGGCCTCCTGCCTTCCATTCAGGGCCCCGGAGCTGGCGCAGCCGCAGGTCCCGAGGGAGCTGAGGGCGGGAGATGCTCCTCCAAAGGTCTCAGGGAGCTCCGAGGCGGGAGTCCGAATTACCCTGACCCCTGAGCGGCCAGACAGGTCACTGGGCCCAGCCGGCCCGAAGCCCAGCCTCCCAGGTGAGGGGTGTGCATGGACGTGTCTGCACTCTGTGTGTGGGGCTGGGGCAGCAAGTCTCTTCCCAGCTCAAGTTTGCCCCAGCATCCACGTCTAGCCTCCCACTTCCTGTGTGACCTCCAGCAGGTCACTGGTCCCATGGGACCGAGGATGCTGCCCTCACTGGGTGGATGTGGTTAGCACGGCACCCTGAGCACAGGGGGCGCTGCCTTGTGGGTGGCCCCAGCCCAGGGAAGTGATGGGCAGGTGATGGGTTCTGCCTGATGCATGGCATAACTCATCCGTGAGAACTCATCCGTTCTCACCCGTGGCAGCCACAGCCCCCTCCCCAGCCCACCGCAGGAAGCTGCTCGTCCCTGCCAGCCTGGACATCACTAGTGACTGGCTTCAGCCCAAACCCTTGCGGCAGGAAGCCCCGGCCCTGAGCAGGAAAGAGGGGGAGAAGCCTTCCCCTGAGGACAGATCTGGTCAGCCTGGAGACACACCCCTGTTTCTTTTGGGGCACAAAAAAGGGGACACTCTGAGGAGGAGGTGCCCAGTGGAGCCTTGAAGGATGAGTAGGAGCTCACCGGGCCCAGAGTGAGGGGAGGGCTCAGGGCACCCACGGCCGTGCAGCTGCTGGCGGCCACGCTGTAGAAGTTTTGGGCAGGCACTGGGGGTGGAGAAGGATGGGCAGAGGCCCCAGGCCTCCTAGCAGAGAGCTGGGGATGATGGAGTGTTTGCTCTGGCAGGTGGCTGGAGGGGCAGCTGACCTGGAGGAGGAGGGCAGGGTCTAGGGTGGCAACGGGGACAGAACTGGATCTGTGAGCTCTGCCCAGGAGCTTGGGGAGGGTGCAGGGGACATGGGGGGCAGACCAGGGGGAGCCCAGCTGTCGGGGTCAGACCACCGTTCAGGACACGTCTGAGTCACCTAGGGCCTGGTGGCCCCGGTCCAGGATGCTCATCCTGCCTCTTCTGCAGGGAAGCCCTTGGGCCAGGCCGACATCCCCGCTCCACCTGGCAGGGCAGCGACTTCCCCCATCAGGGTGAGTGGGCCAGAGGTGGGTCTGGGCTGGGAGCCAGCCCCCCAGGGGCGTAGATGACCCTCACTGCCCTTTCACCTGTAGCCACACCCCGACCACGTGCCCCAGGAGGAGATCCAGCGGCAGGTGCAGCAGATCCAGCAGCAGCTGGACGACCTGGAGCTCAGAGGAGTGGATCTGGAGAAGCGGCTGCGGGAGGCTGAGGGGGGTGAGCCGCGCCCTTCCCGCCGCAGCCCCAGCACCCGGGTGGCCAGCCCCTTGCCCTGCCCTACCCCTGGCGGAAGCCAGCCTGGCCCTGGGCCACCCCTGCCCCTGGGGCCGTCTGTGGGGCTCTGCCCCACACTGTGCCCAGCCCCCACTCCTCCCCTCAGACGCCTCGGAGGACGCGCTCATGGTGGACTGGTTCCGGCTCATCCACGAGAAGCAGCTGCTGCTGCGGCTGGAGTCGGAGCTGATGTACAAGTGAGCAGCTGCCTACAGCTCCGGAACGCCCCTCCTCCCCATCTGGGCTGGGCGTGGGGGCTCACCCTGTCACCTTGGCAGGTCCAGGGACCAGCACCTGGAGGAGCAGCAGCTGGACATCGAGGAGGAGCTGCGCCAGCTGATGGACATGCCCCGTGCGTCCCCCTGCCCTCTTGCTGGGAGCCCAGCCCAGGGGGGGGGCTTCCCGATGCCTTCCTGCTGTCGTCAGTGGGGGAGGCCAAGGGTCCTGTTTGGGGTGCAGGTCTCTGGAGCCTGCTGCTGAGTCTCAGCTCCTTCACTTCTGGGCTGTGGTCTGTGGCCAAGTCGCTCACCCTCTCTGAGTCAGGGTCTCAGCCCCTGCAGAGAGGGAACAAGACTAGCTCCCAGCCCCTCCAGCTGTCGGTAGCTAGGGCTGAGGGCTGATTACGTGCAAGGGGCCAGAAGGGAGCGTTGATCCTTGTGGGGTGTGCTCCGTGTGGTGGAGGGAGCGCCAGCTGAGCACCGGGGGCTCTGTGCTGAGCCCCAGCCCCCACCTCCCTACAGTGGGCACGTCTGTAAGGACGGCGCGGTGACCCACGGCCTGGCAGCCGTGCTCAGTCTCTAACAGGCTCCTTCCTTCAGTCATTCACGGTCTTTCACTCCGGGTCTGTGCTGCGGAGCGCCCAGGCGAGCCATGCCCCTCCTCCAATGGCGAAGCTTGACACTTGAGTGGGGACACTGCATTCTGAGCGGGATGGGACAGCGGGGCTCCGCTGATGGCAGGTTGTCCCTACAGAGGGTCTGAAGTCACCCCAGGACTGGCAGCGGGAGCAGGACCTGCTGACTCAGTATGTGAGCACCGTGAACCACCGCAGCGACATCGTCGACTGCCTGGATGAGGACCGGCTCCGGTGAGGGCGGGGCTCCGGTGGGGGTGGGGCCTGGGTGAGGGCGGGGCCTGGTGAAGGCGGGGTCCTGCCAGGGTGGGAGAGGGCAGGCTGAGGTGTGGCTTGTCTGCTGAAGAGAGGGCAGGTAAGCCTGGTGTCAGCTGCGCTCCAGGCTGGGCTGTGAGGCCGGCTAGGAGGGACCAGCGTGCGCCACCCCCAGTGAGCTGACCCTCAGGGTCCCCGTTCCGTTTCAGAGAGCAAGAGGAGGATGAGGTGTTCGAGAACATGATCCAGAAGCTGGGTACCTGGGGGCCGGGGGTGCTGCGCTTGGTGGGGTGGGACCTCCTGAGGCAGCGGGGGCCAGGGCAGCGGGGGCCTCGGCAGCAGCTTCAGCGCAGGACAAGCAGACTCACCCTAAGGTCGTGAGTCCTGTCACTTGAGGGGTTTGAGAAGCAGTGGGTGAGCCCCTGGTCAGGGGGAGGGGTACCCTGTGTGGTAGGCCCTCTGAAGGCAGGCGCTGGCAGCCCCCCCGGGGAGGGTGGGGTCTCCGGGCTCCTTCAGGGGCTGGGCTGCCTACAGGCTCTGAGGGCCCGGGTGGGGGGTGCCCAGCAGGGAGCGTTGGCCTGGGGGGGCAGGTGTCCTGAGAGCTCCCTCCTCCAGGCCTCCAGAGGAAGAAGTCCAAGAAGTCCAAGATCCGCTGGTCCTTTAAGGGAAGAAGCAGGACCCCAGAGTGAGATGCCCAGCGGCTGCAAGACCCTGGCCCCAGGGCCGGTCTGGGTGGGCACTGTGAAGTGGCCCTGGACCACCCTCTGTGGGGTCCGAGTGGCCTCAATAAAGAAACCGACCACATGGCCCAGGCTCCGTCTCCATTTGGCCACAGCCCCTGGGCGATCTGGGTCGGGTTGCAGGTCTGCAGCAGCCTGTGGGTGGGCCCGGGCCCTGGGCGGCGCAGGCCCTGAGGGGCGTCTCTGCCGCAGCTCTGTGCCCTGGGTCCCGGGCTGGCGGCCCTGGGCCTGGGCCCCTGGCAGCCACAGGAAGGAAGTAGGGCTGGCCTCCCTGACTCCTGGAGGAGAGGGCACAGCCAGGCTGGCAGGCCCTGGGCAGCAGGGCCCTGCGCCCACACCTGCACCTGCCCCCGCCCCCGGCGCTGCTCCACTCTCAGTGACCCAGGAGGACGGTGGCACCTCGGGCTGTCCCCCCACCTGTGTGAAGGGCTCAGTGGTGGCTTTGTCTTCTGCACTGTCCCCAGCTGCAGTGGGAGCCTTCACGGGGGTTCCCCATGGGCCCTCGGAGGTGGCAGAGCACCAACATCCCCCACCCAGTGGCAGGCAGGGTCACCTGTGTCCCGGTGGGAACAGGGTCCCATGGAGGGTCTCGGTCAGAATTCTTGAAATTTGAGATCAGGGTGTGATGCAGGGCAGGGTGGGGCTTCCTGGCACTGAGGCAGGTTCAGCGGCAGGCCCGCTGCCCTCTGGCCCTGGCCCAGGGCACTGCCCTCTCTGAGCCTTTGGTGACCAGTGGGGGCCACAGGGTCACGTGGGTGCGTGGAAGCAGTGGTGACAGTGAGGAGACCTCTCACTCGCTGTCCTCCATAGCAAGACACCCATTGGAGAGGCAGTGGGGCGGGGTTGGGGCAGATGGGCAACCTGAGGTGTTGGCAGGGCCTGGGCTGTGCAGGGACCCAGCTGGGTGGAGCGGCTGGGTGCCAGGGGCCTTTCTGGGCAGTGGCCTTACAGAATGGTCTGGAGGACAGCCGAACCAGACCTGCAGGACCCTCTAGCTGAGACTGGCCCCCCTCCCAGTGTGGCCTCTTCACCACCAGAGGGAGGCAGAGGACCACCCTGCAGGACTGGACAGCCTGGGGGTCCAGAGTGGCTCCATTTCACTGATAAGTAAAATGAAGCTCAGAGAGGCTGGGCAGATGCCCTGAAGTCACACAGTGCACAGATGGGCCTGTGACGGCACCCTGGGACTCGCCTTCTCAGTGGGTTGGGGTGCAGGGGCTCTTTGAGATGGGTGCAGAGGGTGCCTCGTCCAGTGTGTTATAGCCATGGCAACGGGGCTAGCCCTGCTGCTGGGGACATCCCCTCAGAGGTGTCCCTTGGGGCGAGGGTGTGCCTGGCCATCTGGGCTGTTCCCTGAAGCCCCAGAGGCCCCTGGGTGCAGAGTGGGCGCAGCCCAGGTACACAGCACAGGAGGCCCTGCTGGGCTAGCGGTTGAGCCGCCAGCAGGAAATCCTTGTCCTCCTCCAGGGCCCAGCACCTGTGGACCCCGTACAGCGCCCCCTGGCAGGACGAGCATGAGTCCTCGTGGTCAGCAGAGTCACTGGGTCCGTGATGTCCTTCCAGCCCTGGGGCAGAGCAGGAGGGGCCCTGGGGACCACCAGGGTGGCCTCCCGGGTGCAGGTGGGGCCTGGTCTCTCCGATGCCACGCCCTCAACCTGGAAGTCAGCCCAGGCCTCACCTACCCTGGGCACCCTGACAACTAGTCAGGAGGCCCAGGGGGCCCCCACCTGGGAGGAGAGACGGGCTTCGCAGGTGGCAGGGGCCTCAGCCACCTAGAGAGGCCCAGCCAGATGGGGCCTGCTTGGCCGGGTGGGTGCGGCCCTGCTCCTGCCTGTGCTCAGGGTCTCTCCCCACCCCCCACCCCAGACGAGGCCCGTCAGGGGAACAGGTGTCATAAGCAGTGCCTTGTCCCTTTGAAAAGAGGGGGAACTGAGTCACAAAGGCATTACACCCAGGGTCATGTGTCAGGCGAGGTGGGTCCTGGGTTCAGGTCCTCAGCCTCCATCCAGGGGGACAAACGGAGCCAAACCGCTAAACCTCCCCTGGGGGCTCTGCTGCCCCTCTCCTGCTTGGGGGCTCCCCAGGAAAGAGACCCCGTGTGACTGGGCTCAGGTGGGGGCAACAGTCCCCCCACAGACAGAAGCTCTGCCTCTTGCTGCCTGGACCCTCCCTCCCCTTGAGGCTGCTGTTACTCCACCCACCCGAGTCTGGAGCTCCCATTCCTGGGGCCCTCCCAGCCCGGGCCCCCCAGGCCTCGCCCAGGCTCCTGTCAGCTGTCCCCTCCGGCCCTGGGTCCTGGCCAGAGTGCCCGGCTCAGCGTGAACAGGGCCTTCTGGGCGATGGGCAGCAGGTGAAGCCAGTTGGTGTGCAGTCCCGATGGTGTTAACAGAAGAGCACCTTGCAGGCACCCCATCTGCGGCCCGAGACTCCGGACCCAGCCCAGTCGGATATAATCCAGTCGAAACCACAGTATCGGAACATCCCATCCCATCCCAAACTGAAACTATCATATTCCTGTTTCCCTGAATTAAAGAGCTGAAGCCGGCCAAATACTCTCCCGCTTTTGTGTGGAACTTGCTCAGTGATTTTAACACCCTGACGTCTCCATGGGGGCAGTTTCTATCGTTTATTTACAAGGGAGAACTTTCTGGAAAGGGCTGGCTGGTGAAGAGAACCTGCCCTCACCCTCCACGGGTGCAGGGTGTCTGGCAGGCAGGTCTCAGGCTCAGAGGGGACAGGGAGCCTATGTTACTGTGGATGGAAAAGGAGGGAACCAGCTGCAGGGCACGGGGACAGAGCAGTGGTGGCCGTGGTCACAGGAAGCCCCCTCAGGTCTGGAGGGACGGAGGGCGGCCTGCTGGGTGAGTACAGGCGTGGGTCCTCCCCGCGGCCTGGCCCTGTCGCTCAGAGGACGGCGGTCGACGGGACCGAGTCCCGGGCTGAGGGGCTGCCCACCAGCGGCCAGTCTGGGACGGAGGCGTGGGCAGAGCCGCCTCCTCCTTCCTGCCTCCGCCAGCATCGGGCTTCTCCCCAGGCAGGTCTGGGTCCAGATGCACCCTCGCCCTCCCGCAAGGAGTCCCCTCGGACCTGGATGCCGTCCGAGGGCCTCCTCTCAACCTGACCCTCTGCAAAGACCTGTTTGCCAACAAGGTCACGTGGTGAGGATCTGGGTGGACATGGAGTCCGCGGGCACACTCCGCGGGGGCGGCCATGCCCTTGTGGTTTATGGCGCTTCCTCGGGTTTGCCGACATCCGTGGACCAGAGCGTCCAAACAACCTGGGCTCTGGCTCCTGCACTGATTGGGGGGTGACAAGTGACAGAAGCTAGCCAGCTAGCCCGTGGACTTGTGGATCGGGGGTGGTGGGGCACCAGGCAGCGAGGCTCCACCCCCCGAGTTGCACACAGTGGTAGCCGCGGTCTTGCGTAGAATTAGATCCAGCTGTGATCCAGGGGCCTGGGTTTTCGGGCCGGGGAAACGGGAGGAAAACGTCCAGGGTGGCAGTTTTAGGGCATCACTGTTCCCGGCTTTCTGCAAGTCCTTGAGAGAGAGAGAGAAACACAGGGGGGGCCGCTGGGAGGCGTGTCTGTGTAAAGCCCTTCGCCTGGGAGGGAGTGCAGCCCCCGGAGAAGGGCGGGAGTGCCTGGAAGAGGAAGCTGGGCAGGAGGGAGCCTCCGGTGCAGGGGTCTCCCCGCTGCAGCCGGAGCTCACGTGGGAGACACTGCCTGCTGGGACTAGGAGGTCAGCGCCACCGCAGCCAGCATGGGCCTGTGGGGGCAGCAGGCGCACCAGGCAGCGACTGGCAGGACAGGAACTGGGAAGGCTCCTGGGGGTGGCTGATGTCCTGTGGATGCCACTGAGCCCTGAATTAGCCATTCTAGAACCTTCCTGCCTGTGGACTTCTCATCCTGAGGGATAACCAAGCAGGACAGCGTGAGCTTCTGTGATCTGACTGCTTGGACGGCCACAGTGAGCACCCCGAGGGGCAGGTGCACCCTGCACAGCCTTTTCTCCTCACTGGTCCGTGCCCCCCGCCAGGCGGGGCCCCTTGGAGACCAGGACCTGACCCTGGCCACGTGGTCACGAGTCCCAGTCCCTGTCCAGGACAAGAGGACCCGGGCTTGCACCCAGCCCCATCCCAGCCCTCCACCAGGGCCCCCTCAGTGGGTGGTGGGCCCTTGGGCAGGGCCCTGGTTTCCAGGTGCGGAGAACTCGCACAGTGAGAATGACTGGCCCGGGTGGTGGTGGCAGCTCTGTCAGCAATGGCGCTGTCCCCAGCTGTGACTGATGGCCAGTCCTGGGGAGGGCCCCGCCACCTGGCACCCGCGGCTCCTTCATGGGCCAGCTGTGTGGGGTCTCCCCAGGGAGGGCAGTAATGGGAAGGCCCGGAGAGCTCCTCCAAATCATCAAAGATCTCAAGGAGCACAGCCCTCCCCACTCTCCCCCCTCCTCCTGCTGCACAGTCTCTGTCATTCCAGCTCCCAGCAGGCTGGGAAGTCCCATCTCACATCTGACCACTCAGGAGGCCAGGAGTCACCAGGGGCCACTGCACCCTTTGGGCTCGGGTGGGGCGCCCTCTCTTCCCCCATCATGCTTACGCTGCACTTCATGTGACCCCAGGCCAGGGCTCTGGTCAGAGGGATGATGAGAGCTGTCCTGAAGGTGGGGGACACTGTCACTGCAGGGGGGGGCAGGGGAGGGGCGGGGAGGAGATGGGCCTGGTGGGGCTTTAGGCAGCAGCCAGGTAGCCGGCTGCGAGCCTCCCTCCCCTGGAAGTGGGGGACCCCAGGGACCCCCGTGTCACATGACCCGTCAGCTGACAAAACAGGATGACTCAGCCGGCAGCTGTTGGCCCCCTGAAATAATGACAAAAACAATTAGCAATCCAAGCAGTAGCCTTTCCTTAATTATCTCCTCCGAGTTTAATTAACTAGCTAAATTATCAGCAGTAATGTAGGCATTAATTATGTCAAATTACAGTGTAAAACTCACAAAGTGTGGAAAATGTCAATTCAGCTTGGCTCACCTGCCAAGCGGGGGTGGGGAGCGCAGGGCAGACCTGGGTGCT